AAAAAAACAAAAGGACAAAAAAAGGAAAACATGTGGCACCTTAAAGACTATTATATTTTAACGTGAGCTTTTGTGGACACGTCCACTTTGTTGGACATGCGAAAACAGAATGAAATGTTGGATGAAACAGAAGTTTCACAATTAGAACATTCTAAATATTAATTGGCTGTAGGAGTCTTAAGTGTGAGATACATCTACATGCAGTCATTTACGGCTCTGTTTTAAATATTCTTCCAGGGAGACAGAAAATGGACACCAGGCCTGAGTGAGGGAGGAGAAAGAAAGGAAGGGTGTGTTGGTTGGGGATGGGGTGGTATTCAAGAGGAGGGAGAAAGGATATATAAAAGTACATATATATTAAAGTGAAAGATGGCGGCAGAGGAATCACATGTATTAATGTAGATAATGCCGACAGGTTTTACGTTTGAGCCTTGTGATGAGAGACGGGTTTGGTAATTATGAAAAAAAAAATAACAGTGGCCGTAGCACCCAAATGATTATACTGCTCTAACAAATGTAATGTGGGATGAGTAATTTCCTTAGCGTGGAAGATGAATGCATGCTGCATCAGAAGACACCTCACTTCTACCAGCAACAAAACTGTCAAAAGGTTAGAATGGAGAGTTTTCTTCTAAGGATAATTTATAGCTTTCTCCTGTATCACCTCCACACTAACTGCATATACATTCTTCACTTTTTCCATGTCAAGGTACTTCTGTTTCCTTCCCCAAGGAAAGAAGCAGCAAACATGGGACCAGCACAATGCAACCACTCAGGTATAGAAAGGTTGCTCTCTGCTCCCTCCTCACTTTTAACTTAAGCACTCTGCTAGTAAGAGGACGTGAACTGTTAAATCATTTGAAGGGCCTGTTTCAACAGTCCCCGAGCTTTTTGGCACCATCACATTTTTGAGAAACCATGTCTACACCCCCCCCCATCTTTTCGCAAAATATTCCACCTGTAATTTGAAATGAAAAATAAAAACTAACCCCTAATAAAATTCATTTTACTGATGGTTCAGCGGTTTAGGTATGAAGCTGTGGAGCTGGAGGTTGGGAGTTCGATTCTCCTCTTCACCTCCCTGTCAGGGGTCAGACTTGATGATCCACAGGATCCCTTCCAGCTGTACAGATCTAACATATTTTTTAAAAAAAACTGCAAAAAGCTTTCCCACACACACACACACACCTCCTCCTCACCACTCTTTTACAATCATCCGGCCTCTTTTAAAGAAAAAAGAGAGAAATCCTAAATACTAGCAATCATATCTTTCTTGGAAATTTGTTTTAAGCAGATACAATTTTACACAAACGCGCGCGCGCACATGACGAGCTCAGGTTAAATAGATCCCTGGCTCCTAAAATGAGGGCATGAAGAAAGTCCATGAAGAGATTTGCATGAAGGAATTAGATAGATTTGCATAAAGGAAATAGATTAATTGGTTTGCATGAACGAAACACACACACACGTGTATGTACAGTACATATGTGAGCCATTCCCAGCAAAGGAAAGACCCATGGAAAGTGTGAGGAGGTAGATGATGGATACAATGGACCCAACCCCGCAAGAGCGCCTCCCAAGGCTCGAACCCAGGGCAGCAGCTGTCATTCCGCCCCACCCACGCTTAACCGGGCTGCACCTTAACAGCCGCCGCCGCCGCCGCCTTTTCCTTCTTAAGAGCCAACTCTCCCACGCCACCCATTGCTGTCAGACTTGCCCGCCGTATCTCGCGAGAACGGAGCTGGAAAACAGGATTAAAGAGTCATCTTCTCGCGCGATTTCGGGCTTGGAGACTGCAGCAGGAAGGAATCTGAGCATGTGCTCTATGATGAGTGAAACTCGCACTGCCCTTCCTTCCGCCCTCAACTGCTGGTATTTAGGGATCTTAAAGCAGATTTTTAAAAGGGGGGGAGAGGGAGCGTGAGAAAGAGGGAGGTAATAAACCAGGTTGCGTGAAAGCGGGGGAGAGTGTGAATCAGTGTATTTGACGGTGGAATTAGCAGCTCTTCGTTTTTGTAAAATGAAAACAGAGAAGGATGTATGATTTTAAAAAAAAACTAAGAAAGGCAAAAGCATTGGGGAAAACATAACTGAAGATAATTTGTCTAGAGCTTCTGTGAGTCATTATATTAATGCTTCTTAAAAGTTACGTAGTAAGTTCTTGGTTGGCAGCAGAACTTACATCCGAATAAAATGTTCATAGATTGAGGCTGTAAAATCATTATAATGACTGCATCCTTAAAAAAAAAAGCAAAAACGGGTGATATTTTGGTACTAATGTTTATTAATTGTTCACAACATAAAAGAAATAATAGCATGTAAATATCACTCCTTCCTGAGACTGATTCTGTATGGTGATTTGTTCTAGTATAGGAGATATATTTTAGTGTTGGTACATATCTGAACTTCCAGGCTCCATAGAATATATTTGATATTACAAATTAATTAGGGCTGGATCATAAAGGCTTTTCAGGAGGTATATCTTCTTAAGTAGTGGTTCCAACTTTTTTCAGCATCATGGCCCATATATATAATGTTGACAACAAAATGTTGATACAAATTATTGTAAAGCAAAAATAAGCACATCATTTCTGTTGACAAAATAAATTTTCTTGAGAAACTCTGAATTCTAGTAACAATGTCCACAAAAGTGAGAGAAATCTGATATTTTTTTTTCTTTATGAAAATCTCAGTCTTCTGACCCTTACAATTTCTTCATGCCCCACCTAATGGGAGCACCCCTCCATTTGGGAACCAATGTTTTAAATCTCTTATTATTATAAAGTCCTTAGAGGAATAGTCCCCACCTCTGCCTGCCAGGCATGGGACTTTTAGAAGTTTTGGATTGCCACTCCTAGAAGTCTGCAGGAATCCCCCAAACCAGACTTATGGGAACTGTGGTTCAAAAAATTCAAAAGCTCCATGCCTAGTGCCTACTCTTATCCTTTTTCAAGAGAGCAAGTAAGTAGAAGAGTCTTTGTAAGCAGCACTGTAGATATAACCATGCTTGTATTGTTTGGAATAGATGAATATGTTCTCTTATATGTACTGTGGCATTGTTCCTGGTTATTCTAGGGTTGCTCTGGGTCTTTATCCTATTGTTTTTTTCAGGTTTGGAAAGATCATCATAGTATTGGCATCCACACATTGAGTGAAATATGTTGATAGATGTACTGGGATGCACTGTGTTCTGGTACTGCCTATCCACACTCATATGGAGTTGCTCGCTGACATCTCACTCCCAACACAGATTTGCCATCAGCTTTTGCCCATCTTCCTTAATATTTCCTTCCTTCCCTCTTTGTTTTATCCACCCACGTTTCTCACATCTTCATGTTATCACTATAATGGTTTCTGATTTTCATTTTGCTTAATTTTTTTCCCACATATTAAAAAGGGGAATGCAAAAAGAGCCAACATCCCAATAAATTGAAACAGGAGTAGCAATGAGGTATGAAGGGATTGAGACTGATCAGCAGAAACAAACCCAGAAGGAAATACAGCAGGATGCCCATATCTGCAGGGGATTAGTTCCAAGCTGCCCTGTGGGTGCTGAAAACCACAGAAAATAGTAAATGTTATACATATTGTGGTAAAAGAAAATAAAAATACAGAAAAAAAGGTTTTTTCCTAATGTAATTACCAAAACTGACCACTAGAGGAAGCCAGAGGCCATGCTATGTATTCTTCAAAAACAAGAATACTGTACATTAGCATGGTTTCTGGCTCCCTCTAATGGCCAACTCTGGTGAATACATTGTGAAAATACATATCTATTTTTTTTTTCTTATAACATTTTCAGTTTTTTAGACCATGGATAAGTGAAAACATGGATACCAGTCCCCCAGGTACAGGGGTTGTACTGTATGATTACATGACAAATCCATAAAATAAAATAAAATAAAATCAGCACACATCAACAAGTTACAGGGGTCCACAACAGCAGGTTGTGCATTGAAGGAAAACAGAACAAAGGAGAACAAAATACATCTCCACCGAGCAGTGGTACTAAAAACAAACAAGCAATCAGAAAGTTTTTGATATGCTTTGAATTTGTTGACACTACTTTGCATCTTGTGGACACCGGGATAAAGGGCAGGTATAATAACTGCAAGGGAAGTGGGACAAATGCTTAAGAGTCACAAATGTGGATAGGCTCTGAACAAAAGAGGGGGATAGGGACAACCTCAAGAGGAAGCATTGCAAGGCTGAGGAGTGGGGCTATATTTGGCAGAATCTGCCTCCCATCAGATACAGTATCAGGATAACTGATATTTGTTGAGAGACATCATGACTCTGAAATTCTTGCAATTTATTTTTCAAAGTTTTCCTTTGCATCTTCTCCTTGGCTGGGCAGTCAGTAGTAGACCCCAACTACACCTTCTTTCAAGAGCCCTCCTCCTCTTTACTAATGTGTAAGTGGCCACCCTACCACCCCCACCAGGTTCTCCTGGCCAAGGTGAGAAAGTAGAGGCTTTGACTGGTGAACGCATTTAATCAGCCCTGTATTATTTTTTGGGGGGGGGGAATGATTTGAGGGGGATCATTTTGTAAGAAAAGATGCAAACTGCACGCACTGATATAACTACCAATGAATGACATGAAGAATATGGTATGGCAGGGCAGTTCTGCATGAACTTCAGGTCTGAAGTCATTCCCGAGAGTGGGCATTCTGAAAACCCCTTCTCACACCGTGCCTCTGAAGTAGCTGATTGTTGCCTAGTGGGATATTTCAAGAAAAGTTCAGTGGCCTCTGCTCATTTTCTTTCATTATTTTCATTCATTTTCAGTAAGTTGCAGAAAAGGCACAGAGCATTGCATACAGTTATTATGCTGACACAAGTCAACTAAATAGATGAAGCATAAAGTAATTATTTCCACTTAAATTATTATTATTTCCACTTTTATTGTTGTATTATATTATTATTATTTCTATTTAAATTATTATTTTTCCACTTAAATTATGGTAACAATGTCTAATTGTGATGATATTCGCCCATATTTGTTTAAAATTAGTATGTGCTAACTTAAGGCAGATACGTCCTCTTTTCTGGTGCTCCTTGTCTTCCTTGTCCTCCTTTTTGGCGATGGAGTAGTGGCCAGCATTAGGCTAAAGTAGGAAGTAGGTGGCCTTATTACAGTACTTAGTTCCGTCTTTGTCCATTTATTTGATCAATAACATTTTCTTTTTCAAAAGAGTAACGATTTGAGCTTGACCAGCACTTGAGCTAGATTCTGCTGTTTGAAGCGGAGTCTTCTTCAAGCTATTGGTGGCCTGTAGATTTGCTTTTTCTCCTGCAGACCAGTTTACCAGTATGCTTACGCAGTTAAAATGGCCAGCTTTGCAAGCACAATGCAATGGGGTGTCTTTATTGTTGTCCAAGGCATTGATAGCTGCACCATTGCTCAACAGGTAATTTAATAAATCGCCATGCCCATGTTCTGCTGCAAGATGCAGTGGTGTCTTCCTCCAAATATTTCTGTCACTGATATTTTTATTGTTCCCAGTGACCAAAAGAGCTTTCAGTATCTCCAGATGCCCACCAATGGCTGCATAGTGCACTGGGGTGCAACCATCCATGTCTTTGGCTCCAGACCTAGACTTTCCAGCTAAAAGTGTTTTCACTGTGTGAAGGTGGCCTCCTATTGTCGCAAGGTGAAGAGGAATCTTTTTCGCTTTATCTGTTGCATTGGGATCAGCACTGGAATTAAGAAGCAGCTCCACCATAGCAGGATTTCCTGTTTCAGCAGCAAGATGAAGAGGTGTCTTTGACTGTTTGTCCTTAAGATTGACATTGGCCTTATGTTCTAGCAGCTTTTGAGCAACATCAGCATAGCCTTGATAACTTGCGATGTGCAATGGAGTGAGTAACTCTTTGGTGACTGAATCAATTTTAGCTCCTCTCTCAATTAATAGTTCAATTAACGCCCCCTTATTGTGAAGTGCAGCAACATGGAGGGGGCTTTGATCTTCTGGACCTGTGATGTTAGGATCCATCCCATTGTGCAGGAGCATCTTGACGATGGATGTGGCTCCAGCTTCGACTGCCAGATGTAAAGCACTGCTTGAGTTGGGGGTCCTATCCTTCAAGTTGGCTCCCTTTTCCATTAGAACTTTGGCTGACTCCGTTTTCCCCATTTCACATGCCGCAAGCAATGGCGTGTACTGCATTTCATTGAGAGCATTTACATCTGCACCTCTTTGAATTAAGGCAGCTACAATGCCATGCAGATCTTTCTGTATGGCTTTAAAGAGAGTTGACACCATAGTATTAGGTGAAAGTCCTTTGGAGTATTCCAACAGTAACCCAAAAACTGATTGATTGTTGCTAGTAAAGGCTAAATCAAGTATATTGGAATCTATATTGGCTCCAGCTTCCAGCAATACCTTGATAGTCGTCTCAAATCCTTGAGACACTGCATAGCCCAAAGCAGTCTGCCCCTTTTCATCCTTAGCATCCACGAACACACCATTCTTTAGAAGTGTTTGTATGAGGCTGCTGTCATCTCTGAGGGCACCCATGTGCAGGAAGTTGTGCTGGTTCCTGTGTCGTCTTCTCTCTTCTTCTAGGATGGTCTTCAGGACATCTGTATGGTGGTTCTGCCAGGTCAAATGGAGTGGAGTATTGCCTTCTTGATCCAAGCTGTATATGTTGGCACCAGCTTGGAGCAATGTTTTCACAGCTTCATCATGACCTCTCTCGGCAGCCACATGCAATGGAGTTTTCCCTGTTTTGTCTTTTACTTCCAGCTTGGCACCTTTGCTGATTAAATAGTTGGCAATTTTGGCATGACCGTGAGCTGCTGCAATGTGGAGCAGGGTTTCATGTGCAGAATTCACTGCATTAACATCACTCTCCTTTAAATATCTTTCCAGATCAGAAAGAGCACCTTTAGCCACAGAATCAAAGATACTAAGAGGATTAAAATCATTGCCTGCAGATTTCCCTGCTGCTGAAATTTGTTTTTCTTTATGTTTGACCCCAGTTAGCTTTTCTGGTCTAACCAAAATCTGTCTAGGACTATCTTTTTTCACTTGGCGAGTCTCCTTGCCCTTTTCAACCCATTCTTTGTCTTTCTCAAGCAGGTAGCCTATTAATTGCCTTCTGGCATCCCCAATTTTCCCGTTGATGTCACTCACATAGTTCCTCATACTGCTGTACAAGTGTGGCTCGATCTCTTTCAGACAGGGATAAAAAAAGAGCCTACAAGCTCGCTCACCTTGGGAAGCCAAGATATCCAAAACCCGGGAATTCTTTGCTGTTCGAGTCCTGTAGTAAGACAAGACCATTCTTTTGTCCGGCGTCAAAATCCCGTTTTCTATCAGCCAGCTCAAAAGGTGATCGGGGTTGTTTATGCCTTCAACAAGTTCATTCTTTTTGGTCCTCAGGACTTGTGTGGCGTACGGATTTGTGAACATGCTCGTTGAATGCATGATGCGTTTAGAATGTTCTTCCACAATATCGTAAACGTTTCCTTGAAATTCGACATTTACTGTAAGTAAAGGTGTGCCGTAACATAGGTTTGCTCCAGTTTCTGACAACAACTGTTGTGGCAGTTCAATTAGAAATCTCAGTACAGTAACAGCCGAACACCAAAAAAAGAAAACATAAACTCTTCACCTTTTGTTGCGCAACCCTGTGGCTGCCGTCTGTTCTCTTTTTCGGTTGCTTAACTACAGACAGATTGACAAATGTAAGGAAACCAAAACAAAACTCAGTTAAATTCTTCCAGCAAATATGGCAGCATTACAAGATCCTGTTGATAAAATTTGGAGGAAAACGGTGTTTTCGAAGTTGGTAGCTCAGCTGTTGATGGAGGAGAAACTTTCTTTTTTTATTTGCTGTGTGGCCCATCTGTCAAACATGTCAGAAGAAAACCAGCAGGCTAGTGACTGTTGCTATGTAATTAGCCTTTGTGTAATGTTAAGATAAAATTGTCTACCCCAAGTTAGTAACAGAAAGGCATATCACACAGTGCTCAAAAGTTGTGGTTCTGTTTTGCCTAACAACAGCAATCCGTATAAGAAAAATGATTGAAAGTGAGTTTAAGTTTTCATAGATTTTAGTTTGTAGAACATTTTGGACAAAACACTGAATAATATTCTTTGCTGTGACACAGTCATATCAGTAGTTAGCGCCTGTAAGATAAGGAAGGAATAAGACCTTTTACAGCATTGAACTGTTTTGTCAAGCTTGTGAGATAACAGTATTTTCAGAAATAAAATGCTCATAGAGAATGAATGTGGCCTGAGGGTGGAATGTTTTAACAATTCAGGCATTTTCATTAAAGCAATATGGGAACTCTGTAATAATGGTTTCTAAAAAGCACAATATTAACAGAGCAATCTTACACAGCAAGGGTGGGGAAAAGTGCAACCCTCAGGATGCTGATGGACTACAATTCAGCCCTTGCCAGCCAAGGCAGTGGTCAGTAAGCCTAGGAGTTAAAGTCTGGCAAAAGACAGAGAAACGCACTTTCTCCCACCTCTGCTGTGTCACTTCAATGCCATGTATGGAAGTACTGTACGTTGCTTCTTTTGCACCAGTCAAAGAACTGATAGAACCTATATATCAAGTATAGGCAAGGTCATTGGTTCACGGGACCAATTCCCAGCCACAGGTTGGGAGTATCAGCTTACAGCTTTCTTTCTTTCTTTTTTTTTAAAGACACATTTTTAATGATAAAAATACTGTGGAGGGGAGAGACACGTGGTTTAAAATGAGAATCACACTTCCTAGGGGCTTTCTTTTCCAAATAGAAATATTTTTTCAGCAGTGGGCGAGGTCACCAAAATTGGGAGGGACTCCCTGTCTAGTACACAGGCTTAGCCAGGAAGGGGAAGGGAGAGCAAATAAAACAAAACAAAAAAAATAAGAAATGACATTTTCAAAAGCACACACACTCCTAGAATCCTTGAAAACTTAGCCAAAGTCAAGGGTTGTGCCAGTGATGCCACCCCCACATAACCTCTACTGGGAAGGTTACCATGAATTCGCAACAATTCAGGCATGATCGCAATGCACGCCACATCACACAAAATGAAAAATGACACCTCAGTGCCTCTGTGTCCTCAGCTGCATCACTATCAGTTCTCTGGTATCTGCGCAGGCAGTGGCTGGAATCACACTTCCTAGGGGCTTTCTTTTCCTAATAGAAATATTTTTCGGCAGTGAGCGAGGGACTCCCTGTCTAGTATACAGGCCTAGCCAGGAAGGGAAGGGAGAGCAAATAAAACAAAACAAAAAAAATAAGAAATGACATTTTCAAAAGCACACACACTCCTAGAATCCTTGAAAACTTAGCCAAAGTCAAGGGTTGTGCCAGTGATGCCACCCCCACATAACCTCTACTGGGAAGGTTACCATGAATTCGCAACAATTCAGGCATGATCGCAATGCACGCCACATCACACAAAATGAAAAATGACACCTCAGTGCCTCTGTGTCCTCAGCTGCATCACTATCAGTTCTCTGGTATCTGCGCAGGCAGTGGCTGAAGTCCCCTTGAGTTGCTCACAAGCACCATTTTGGAGCACAATGTAGGGAAAGGAAAGGAAAGGGAACCCATACTATAGTCATCGTAGAAGTCCCCTTGAGTTGCTCACAAGCACCAGTTTGGAGCACAATGTAGGAAAAGGAAAGGGAACCCATACTATAGTCGTCGTCCTTGTGGCTTAGGAAAGCAGATCATTGCGACTTGGTTGATGAGGCAGCCCTTGAGAACGAAGCTTTGAAAAACCCTTCAAAGGCTCCCATGTTTCTGGGCGGAGGCAATCCTTCAGCAAGCAACATTGGCAAACGATTGCTTACACAATGAAGCTAACCTGGCGAGATGCCTCCATTCCGTTGTTAGCCACCATATGGTCGTTAGAGTGCTGGGACTGAGGCATTTTTCCTGATCAGCCCTCCCAATCTATGAAATACAGTTTAATACACTTTCCTAAACAGCCACCTTCATGACATGGATTGCAGTTTCCATAATCCCACAGCCAGCTGTGCTTGTGCCTAGGAATTGTAGTCCAAGACATTATGAGGACACCCAGATGGCGAAGCTGTTTTCAAGCTTCCCTGTGAAATATGAATGCAGTACATGGAACATTTGAAGTGTGGGGAGAGATGGGGGGCTTGGTGGTGCTCAGACGGGTGTTTAACGTTTGAATTACTTTTCAGTTATGTCTTAGTTATTTGGCCTTTTGTGTCAGAGTTAAATGTAACCACTAAGAACGTTTCAAGGCATTTTGTTTGTTTAATCTTGTAATGCTGGTCCAATCGCTAGGCCAGTAAGCTCAGTTAATCACCACTTGAAAGAAGGAGATGAGTGTTTTTTAGCTAATTGTTTAGTCTTTATATCTGACTTTGAAGCTCCATCTGCTTTGAAGCTTTAAGAGTCTGGGTTGTTGGGGTTTTTTTTTAATTCTCCAAGATGAAGATGTTTCTTAATTAATACAAGAGTCTGTTTTCAAAAACATCATACTCTGTCAATATTAAATATGCTTAACATGCCTTGTTTTCATTCCACTTCCCCCACCAAGGAGTGCAAATGAGGAGAACAAATCCTCCTCTTAGACTAATGTTACATCAGCCGCTTATTGTCATGTGTAGTTTGATTATGGGGAGGAAGGAGTAAAAATCCAGAAGAGGTCACTGTTGCTCTTCTGAGCGTTTTTAACAGGCACACTGGCCAGTATGCTTGAAACCAATCGGGATACCTGGAATCTGTTAAAGTGGCTTTAACAGGCACACTGGCCAGTATGCTTGATACCTGGAATCTGTTAAAGTGGAAAACCATGTACTGGAGTGATTTCCAATACTTTCTTTACATTCTCTTGAGTGTTTGGGCTAACTTAACAACTGGAGTAGGTAACATAAATATATCAGCAGCCAGTGAAGCTGTGTTATTGACACGACTCCAAATGCATCTGAATTTCAGTCAGCTGTTGAAGCACAACAGTTATCTACACTCAGAACATAGAAACAATGTGTTGTAAATAATAACATTGGGTACCCAGTGTGATGTATTGTAGTGGATAGAAAAAATGGCCTAGGACTCTGGGTTTGATTCTCTTGCTCTGCCATGGAAATTCACCTGGTGTATGTGGAACTGAAAAAGGTAAAGGTAAAGGTTCCCCTTGACATTTTAGTCAGTCGTGTTCGACTCTAGGGGGGGGTGATAATCCCTGTTTCCAAGGCATAGAGCCAGCGTTTGTCCAAAGACAGTTTCCGTTGTCACGTGGCCAGCGCGGCTATACACGGAACGCTGTTTACCTTCCCACCGAGGTGGTACCTATTTATCTACTCGCATTTACATGCTTTCGAACTGCTAGGTTGGCAAGGAGCTGGGACAAAGTGACCGGAGCTCACTCTGTCGTGTGGATTCGATCTTACAACTGCTGGTCTTCTGACACTGCAGCACACAAAGGCTTCTGCGGTTTAGCCTGCAGCGCCACTATGTCCCCTGGAACTGGTAAAAGCACTCCTTAAATACTCACCTTGAAAACCGTATTAGGGTTGCTGTAAGTCTGTTCTGACTTGACACCACATAACATAGCATAGGCATCCTTCAGTATCGAGAGACTATGGTAACATGCTCTGAATCGAGGAGTGCCCTCTCCAGAGCATGAAGCCTGGGTAAAGTAATATGGAGGATAGGCTGTTACCCAACCAGGAAATTCCCCCCTCTCCATATCACTGAAATAGTCCAATGGAAAGGCAAGAGCCAATACAACTGGTTCTAGCAATGTTGCAGGAGTTGGCAGAACAACACGACCTGCCTTCGGGACTCCAGCTCCTCTAGGCTATATCCACCACATAACAACAGCAACAAATAATGACATTTCTTGTCGCACATTATATCTTGAGGTTAGGAGGTGATATAACAAAAGTTCCCTGGGGGAAGTAATACAGTTAGTAATCCCACTATTTCACTGTAACAGCTAACATTTACTTATTACTTTTAAAGGAATATCTTGAGGTTAGGAGGTGATATAACAAAAGTTCTTTGGGGAAGTAATAGAGCTAGTAATCCCACTACTTTTTCAATGTAACAGCTAACATTTACTTATTACTTTTGAAGAATAATTTTAGGGATGGCATAATTTTAGGGATTACTTTTGAAGAATAATTTTAGGGATGGCATAAATTTAAATGGGTATATTTACTATGATTGCAAGCTGTACTTATAATGCAACAAGTCTGATGGAACACAAAACATTCAGTGAAAGTCTGTGTCCTGCTCTTCTTTAAGACTCAAGAAAATACTGCCTTTTTCATACATCAAAGCTGTGTAATAATTAGTAATCATCATCATAATTTCACTATGCCCACTGTATCTACATAAGTAGGTTAGGCTGAGAGAAAAGTCACACGGAGTTGCATGGCTGAATGGGGATATGAACCTCAGTCTCTTGCATTCCAATCTATCACTCTTAACTACTCAATCTCATATTGATATAACTTGTAGAAGTTTGGACAAAATATATGAAGGGTAAAAATGAATTCCAGACACTTGGATATAGTTTGAGATCATTTTCAGACAAAAACAACTGAGAGGTCTTCCCTCTATCTAAATAGGCATTTTTAAAAAAGCAGATTATCCAGGCAACCATCT